CTCCAGTCGAAATCCTCTTCGACCGCAACAAGTGGGTCAATGCCTGTATCCTAGAAGGAGAACGCTTGCGCAGAATAGCCTAGAAGGAAGCTTCGTCGAGCCACTCTTAAGCCTGGACTCGGGAAGGAAATGCTGTAACACGAGTTGTTCCCGTAAGGTCAAACGGTCACGCTACCACCTACAGCAGACAATTCAAAGGACTCTCTCACGCAGTCGAAGAAAAGCTATTGAAAAGAGTTTCTGTACGTCTTCAGTAGGATAACGCTCACCCTCGCATCATAAAAACTACGCAGTTCAAGTTACAAGAGCTCGGTTAGAACTTTTTTCCCCGCCATTCCTATTGCTCTAACCTCATCTATCGGAGTAGTGCCTTTTTGTTTGGGCACCTCAAGCAGTTTCTAACCAAGGAGAAATTCAGGACGTTTTCGCTGCTTGTGGCTTCCTCGGGGAGGCAGTTGCTAAACTCCTTTAGTCACAGTAATCGCTCTTGGGAGAGCAGAGTACTCGATTTGCCATTTCGTTGAATGAATAGGATAGATAACGACGGTAGGCTTTTCCCCATGAAAAGCCCTTGCTCATTTCTGTGTCACCCAAAATTAGCAAGGTTAGAGGCGTCGAAATTTAAGGTGTAAATGTTTATAGACCGTAGTATCTTGCCCTGCAAACCCAACAAGTAACTCTTGGTCCTTTCATTGGAGCGCTGATGAAGCTTCTCCGTTTGTTGATTCTATGTAGTGTAGATGTTAGGCACATGTATTGGGCAGACAAATTGGTTTAGGCAACAACCTAATCCAGAGCAAAGTGGGAGTGACATGGAGGCGTTTGAAAAGTACAGGAATCTTGTTAAGAGTGTAGAGAACATACTGCTCCGCACTCATCTCTTCCAATAGTCCTTGCTGCATTCGCCCACTCAAGGACCCGTAGCCCGTGCACGCAGGATAGGGACGCGACCGTCGCTACCGTTTGCGGAAAATCAAGTGGGCCTACCATTACCTAGCACGCTGCATGTTTTCTCAACTGCCCATAGCTCTAAGCAGTATAGGACCTCTCGTGATATGAAACGAACCCCGAAAAAACCTTTAGCTTAAGACAGACTTCATTATGAATCCTCAGCATGGGAGAATAAATTGCATTGTTTGGCTTGAGCAGGCAGAGTTCATAAACTACTCGAATAGTAATCTCCAGTGGAGGGTTGAAATCGAGAGATGGTTGGAATTACTTGCAGAAACGTGAGTGACTCTGGCACCGAAGTTTCTAAGGAAGCAGCGACCAGTGCGACGAAGGGACATGCTGCGCCCCAGTAGGATGGACAACCCACTTTTTCACTGAAACTTTTCCGAGCTTTGAGACGACGGCGTCCTTCTCTTCAAATCCATCTAATCAAACCATTCCCCTCGCTTGGCCGTCTCTCTGGTTCCATGTTGGCAACAGTAGAGCTCACATATGTCAGTTTCTACAAGTTCCAAGAAATACTGCTGAATAATCGAACACTCACCGATTAAGAGTTGGAATCGAGTGCACGGCCCAAACTGGCTAAGAAGCTCTGCTTATGTATTATAGAACATATGCGGAATTTCTTGAAGATCGTATTGCTTGTCCAAAATAGGAGTTTTCTCAGCAATCAACTACTTTGTTAAAGCCAACTCCTTAGGTAAAAATTTGCGCTCTGAAAGAGAAGAAATGTAGGGCGGCAGGAAAAATATCAGAACTGAAAAGTCAGTTTTGGGTTTGGAATTTAAGAAAAACAAAGTTGTCATACATACAATGAGAAACTTCGCTGAATTGTTTAAAAAGAGTTACATCTGATTTTTTCTGAAACGATGTAAAAAGAAAATGAAGCATTTCGATATCGTGGCGACGACCAGACTCGTCTGGGAGGGTAAAAACACTGTCTTCTACATCGGCTGGAATCCGCAAGTGATTGTAGAAGTCACATACGCATTCAAACAGCCATAGCTATTCTGAATGGAAGTCAAAGAGAGGGCGCTTCCCTCAGACGGGAGTAATCAACTCCAAAACGCTCTTTTAGTGTTTGCCGGGAGCGCTTTCCAAAAACAGTACATTTGGAGTTCACGTAAAACCCTTTCACATTAATAATTACCCCCCATTTTGAGTTATGAATTTATTTATGCCACTCATATTGGTTAATATCCGTGAAGTGCACAGGAGCACTGAAAACGTGAAGAACCCGAATGCAGAAAGGGATCGTAAAGAACAATGGCACTTCTTCTTCTGACGAAAGAGAAACGGCACGGAATTATCATCTGATCGCACGTCGGACTCAATAAAATCCAGCACGAGATAGCGGCGATGCATCGTGTTTTCCAAACCTTTTTGTATTAATAAAAGTAGCGAGAACTCTTCAGATAAGGGAATGCATGAAATGTCCACGGATTGCTCTCTGTGTTTACAGAAGGCACTTCTGACCAATATAAACTGGCCGATCAACTGTTATTCTGGGCAATGATAGAATTTTCCGGCGGCAGGGTAAACAGAAAGGCAGACATCACCAAAGACACAGTTCACGAAAAAAATGGTTTCTGAGATTTCCCTATAGAATAAATTCGAGGCTCTTCCATACCATGCCTGCCGTTATAAGCTCGAAAAACTTCCCGGATAGGGTTTAACAAGGGGCCAGAGATTGTGCTGTGTGAATGCCACACCCCTAGTGGACGAGTTTCAACGGCTTTGGAGAAGCTGCACTATCTCAAGAGACTCCCATATAGGAAGTTCTAACAACTTGTCATAATCCATGGCGATAGCGAAAGGCAGTTTCGAACATTTTCGGCTTTGTGTAATCATCTCTTTGCGCAATGGGAGCGAGTTGAATCTCGTCCAAATACCCTTAGATGCCATTGCCGTCACGGCGATCTCGTACAACCTCATTTCCCCTACCTTCAAATGCCTTGAAGTAGGCGGATTCTCTTGCTTTCGCCGCCGTTTTACTCCTCTACATCAACTTCCACTTTCCAACATAGAAAGGGCACCTCGAATTTATCGTGAACTATGCTTTCAAGCAAGAATGGGCTAAGACCATTGAAGTCATATTTCTCTTCGAGAGCATCAACTTGCACTGTTTAAGCTGCTAGTCATCATGAACCTTCATGGTGACTAGCAGCTTGAGCATCGAAATCGAACCCTCACATCTTATTTCGAGTTGGCGATTTTCGATAAGCATGGCAGAGGTGTAAAGACTGCTGTCTGAAAAAGTTTTCATTAATTTCCGATTCATCAAATGCTATTCAGAAAAATTTGCACTTCAGCATGCAACTTCAACAAGTCCTGGCAATCATTTAGTGAACCTTTCTTTGAGTATAGGCCTTGTTTCTCACCGCTACAATTAAGGCTTCATCTCTTTACTAGCTGCCAAATGACCCCGACTCACTCACATCAATGATTGGTGCGCGTCCGAGCCCTTTTACATCTTGCATACCAACATTGTGAACTATTTCTTCTGAAAGCATAGTGCATGGCCCATTCAGCTGGTCTGTTACTGTTATCAGTAATCATCTATCAGTTTATGTCTCTCTTTTCAAAATCGTCATCTGTCAGATGCGAAACATTGATAGATTTTTACAGTAATAGGGATTTATGACTATTGACACCCGCTTGACCATGCCGATTTCTCCTCCAAAATAGGCTGGAAATTCGTAAATGTTTGAGCAACACTGGCACTCCTTAAGCCCTGGGGACGTCCTTTTTCCACTCAAATCTGTCAACTGAATCACTAGTTTCTAATCCATTGGGCCACCCTAGTCTTTGGTAGCCGCGTCTAAGCATCAGCCCGGGCCTATTGGTTTGCCTCACTTTGCCCCCTCCATCGCTCAGCGCATTAGTACTAATTCAGGATAAAATTTGTGATTTGTATCCTTAGATTATGACATAGTCATGGCGAAAGAATTCTTCACTGAAAACCATGTTGTAAAATTCCTTCTCATCTTTCTGACCAACTCTGCAAGATATCCCAGAGCAGCATTATAGTTGCCTTCACAACTCTGAGGGCCATTAAGCAAGCGTGCCTGTGCCATGTGAGTGATACGGATGTAATGCTAGGGAGAAAAAGCCAAACTATCACGACCAGCTTCATAGCGTCTTGTCAAAAAAATCGTTGAACCTCTACCCATACTAGTCCCTACAGATTATGTTCTCGTACGACAAGATGTCTCACGGTGGAAAATTTTCTCAAGCAAGCAGTGCTTTCCGAGGCTGACCGTTATCCCTAAAACAAGCATAACTTTCCTGTTCTTTCCTGATTGACAACTTATCACATTGTAAGCATATATGCCCAAGTTCAAATATTCAATCGAAGTTAGGAGCAGGTGTTCACTTGCATGCGGATTCAGGAAAACAGATAATGATCTAGCAAAAGCTGATATCAGAGAGCGAAACAAAACGAGCGAGACTGAGGAAGGATAGTCAGCTGTATGTAAAGACTTCCGGTTAAATAGTTTACATAAGGGATGGGTGAAGCGAGAAGGGATGACTTGCCTATCAGAAGGTGATGCACTGTCGAGATTAAGATAGAGCTCTGGCCGGCTCTCCCGAAACCATTTATACCAAATATATTAGCAATACAAAGATATGTTATTTGGTTAAGCGGTAGTGTAATGGCAAGTGGCTTCATCGTATCATACATGATGCCGTGAGCAAATCCCGAATCAAATCCGGACACCAAAAATTTGGGTCTGATTATTATTCGAATTCATAAGTAATGGTTTTCAAATAAATCTTTGTGGAAAAGTCACGGTATCAAGGAGGTCAACTCGAGAACCAGTCGTTGCACCTACGTAGAGCACAGGATCGAACGAGCACCCTCTAGAGACTTGGGAAGACATATTTTGTAAGTTCAAAGCCATTAAGTTTCAGAAATGCATTCAAATGAAATTCTGCAGATGTAATTTTCACGAGTTCTATAATATTTATACACTATCGCTGCTACGAACTTCCAAAAGCAATAACATGTCTACCAAACCTTATGTTACAATATAAAATGCGCATCTCTAACGGTAAGTTCCATATTTCTTTCCATGGTTGCCCCAGTACTCTGGATCCGGTGCTGAATCGGGAGGAATGCCCAGTTCTTCATCGGAGAACTCATGCAAATATGGCATGTACCAATGTCCCTGAAAGAAAAAACCACTCAAATAAATCTTCTCCAGTTTGGCAAATGACTGCGGCCATAGAGAACTTACGAATATATGTCCAGAGTGGTAATACATATGATACGTGAACCAAAACCAAAGTAGAGCTGAGATGAAGTAGGTTACACATCTATCAATGTACGTAGTAGTTTTAGGGGCTGATCGGTACATATAGCTGCAAAAAGAAACCAAAATGAACAGTAAAAAATACAGAAATAGAAGACCAATATCAAAGGTACCAACTCGGGTATGAGTACATCGCCTTTCGACGGCGTTCCGCGATACTCTCCATCATAAGTGTGGAGTTCAGGGTTTTCAGGGGCTCCCATTTTACCACCTACAGGAACGTTAGGTCCAAGCGCATCTTCGCCCCAAGCAAATCGATACCTGAAAGTGCCATTAGACAATATAGCAAAAAAGTACAAAGTAAAAATTCAACCATATTCTTTCAAAAGCACTTGAACCGCCTAATAAAGAGGGATTTCAAAGAGTGTAGCGCTCCCTCTTAATATCAACTTTACTACCTACATATTTAGGCGCGAGATGTTTAAATCGTCGACAACCCGTGACAAACTTTAGTGCTTTCACCTCCACAAATTACTGGGATTTTGCAACAGCTTCATTATAACACCCATCCTACGCGTGACCACTATGAACAACAGTGCAAGTGAGAACAACGGTGCAAGTGATGTTCTAAGAAGTTCCCTTCGTCACACTTCAAAAGCTAGTCGCAAAACGATGGAATTCGCCGGCGGATTGCTAGGTCTGGCTACTGAAGGAACTATTGGTGCATGGTTCTCCATGTCACTACAAAGTAACAGTACAAGGTACTCATAAAACACATAAGATCAACCTGAGTGGTCCCAGAGTTGCTCTGCCTCCGACTTGCGCTCGAATCCATGACTGTCGTGCCAACGTCAAGGCAAGCCTACGGCTCAACATACCTATAAATACGACTTCGTAAAAATTCATTTTTGCACAAACTAAACGTTATTTCAATGTTTTGGAAGTATAATGGAACGACTATACGCGTTGTTACTCATAAAACACTATCAATTTCGGTATGAATCTTTAATACATTTCTTTCTAGTGGAGAGAAATCACATAACAGACATGGACTCAACAATCATTGTAACAACAACATCAGCAACAATTTCATGATACATTCTGTTACATTTATAAAAAGAATCGCCGCCTGGACGTCTCCATTTCGTGGCGCTGGAATATAAAAAAAATTATGAGTCAATTTTTGAAAATTTAAAATGAAAGCTCAGGAATCGAACCATACCTTCAGAACCCACTCAAACTCGCCCCATCTAGTATCGAAAGTTCCTTTTTGAAGCCACTTGAGCCTCAGTGTGAATCGGGGTCCCAGTTCATGCAAAGCCGCTTTCTGTCCTTCTTTCTTGAACTCGTATCTAAACAACAACGATCAAATTCTGTTCCGTTTCTGTTTTCATCTCATCCTTCAGTTAATAGTGACTGAAGATAAGTGGGAAGTAAAACTCATGCCAGCTGTTCGTAAACACACATTGTATTGAGAATTTGGCCTTAGACTGTGCGACTTTACGTGCTAGATTTTCGTTTGAAGAAGTATTGGGGCGTATTGAAGATTTCCTGGCTTCTTGCCACATTGCAACAACAATAAAAAGGGAATATCAGCATGACAAGGGCTCGCTAAGCTACTACGCCTCTCCATAATTGCGGCAGGCATCGGTGAAATCTGTCCGGAAGGAAATGATGCGAGATGTCAGGGACTAAATGACACTGACGGACACTAACTGACCCTCAACTTCTTGCTGCTGGATCGTCTGCCCTCAGTTGTGCCAAGAACCTCTTCCAATCATGAAATAATAGAGGGAAGCTAATATCAGATTAACACTTAAGACGATGCAGTCGAGTTCCTTAAGTTCACCACTCGACATCGATGCAGAGTAGATGACGCTGTGAAACTTATCTTGCACAGCAACAACAAAACGCACAGCAGTAATTCGTGATACGGTCTTCCCTAGTGTTCAAAAAGCATGTACGGCGGTAGTACCTCCACGGAGAAATTACTATAGATACAGTAAATAAGGCGCAATGAGTGACACATCAGTTTTCGGCATGGTACTCGTGTTTCGAGACGAGTCCCTGCATTTGCTTCAGTCTCTGTACGTTTTCCGTTATTTTCTTCAGTCGCTTTCAAAGTTCTCCGGTGGGCCTTGCCAGTGCGCGTGCCGGCCGGCGGCGGACTTTGAAAGCAAGAAAGTTTCCAAAAAGTCGTCGTGGTGGACTAGGGAAGAAACGTTGCTTTTCTATTAGTTAGGAAGATCGCCTTCCACAAATGTTATAACAGTGCCACTATTGTAGTACAAAACACTCCTCTAGCTTTGTAGAGGTAAAATCTGTCTTTCGGTCATACTGCCTTATGCCACGAAAAATTGTACACCATCACCCATCGGCGATAGCAATTCGTTCCGAGCCTATTACCGCGGCTGTGAGGTTAAAATAGAAGCCGTCGCTAGTCAAGTCACCTATTCTTTGTTCAATTGGCGCTAAAAGACACAACTACTGAGTAATAAAATCAACAGATTCGAATTTATTCCACTTTTCGACTGATTCAATTCGAAAGAATCTCTTTTTCCAGTCTCTTGATGCACAGTTTTGACCGCGCATTCATGCGTTGTAGCATTTCATTGTTAAGGTGTAAAATTCTCTCAAAATATTTCGGACACCTTATTATAAATTGGCTTACATTGGCAACATACGGCTCAATGGCTGCGGAAGGAGCAGTGCTGAGTTTCACTTTGGAAAGTTAAAAAAATTCACGTAAAATCTTGAGTTTCTAGCGATCACGTTCGATTAAAGGGCTCTGAAATCGCATTACACCGAGACGGCGTCTCTTGGTGCCAAGATACTTTCCCAGACATCTCAAAACCGCGATTTAATGAACTAAAAATCTTTGAAAATAAGTCCAATTCACAATAAGGAGTGGGCTCACCGGTGATGCCGGAAGAAAATATAGTCCCTTTGGTTGTGGAAAGTCACCACTCGCCGTCCTGTGAACTTTGGATCGTGAGGAAAAAGACAGGCAAACATTCGAGCAATGCTGCAAATTTATGCTCAGTTCAGAAACCCTATGCATAGCCCAAAAGCTGACCAACAGGGAACTAGGTAGAATCTCTCTCTGATTCCTACCTGTGACCCAGACGAGTGTTAAAGTTGTTAAGGACGACTTCAGGATTATGACTAGTAGATTCGCCGCAGTGCTGAAAAAAACTTCACTGAGAACGGGGAATTTCAGCGTAGACATCTGCATTAGGGCAAGGAAAAAAAAAGAATGCTCACCACAATGTCTTTCGAGAATTTCAAACTATTGATTTTGAAGTAAGCTGTCGGACCTTCGGGTAAATGACAAAAGATTATTCCATCTGAACAGTATGCATTCCAGTGCGGATGATAGGCACTTACATAAAAGATAATTCTTTAAAACTTACTAGGTTTCTTTTGATCTTCATGAATAACAAGCAGATCAGTATAAGATTTCGATACAGCTTGTTTTACTACTTTCTTCAGCGGCACTCCTTTACGAGAGAAAATTTCCGAATTAGGTATGCACTTGTGGAGCTCGAAGCAAAACTTCCATGTGGTCTAGGATATTTAATATAAGAAACGTGAAAGAATAGAAACTGCAATCAATAAGTGAAAGCAGCTTATTAATTGTACTACCTTCTTGGCAAATGGTGACATCGTTATTAGAACTTTTGGAGTAGTTTCGCGATTGAAGTACCGTGCGAATTCGTCATTGGCTTCGTCGTGCTCGATCTGTGAAAAAAACTGATTTGTAATAAAAGGTTGGGAAATCTGTCCGCAGAAACTAACTGAAAAAACCGACGACCACTCAACAAGATGAAATATTAGGTTGGCAAAAAAAGTCCTGCGACAAAATGGAGACCTTTTTAAAATTATTTCTAAGATTTTTCATATCAACCAATTTTCGGAAATATATTTACCAAAAAAGTCAACAACCTTCTATTATCCTTTGAGCCAATCACTGATGTCATCTGTTCAGGAGTGAGAAAGCTGTGAATCATAGAAGTAATTGACTGCCGTTTTCAGATCACATTAAATTACTAATTTCTTTTCCACAACGGGATGCTCAAGAAGGCCGAGCACATAGTAGTTAAAAGGGGCAACACTACGAGAGTATGACTGAAGAACAACCTGGAACCAAGCGGGATCGGTGATCTTTTGATGGGTGCTTAAACCGAATTTTTGACGTGCGTTGTCCCTCTGTAGGGACCTGATTTACTGTTTGCNAAAATAAGTCCAATTCACAATAAAGAGTGGGCTCACCGGTGATGCCGGAAGAAAATGTAATCCCTTTGGTTGTGGAAAGTCACCACTCGCCGTCCTGTGAACTTTGGATCGTGAGGAAAAAGACAGGCAAACATTCGAGCAATGCTGCAAATTTATGCTCAGTTCAGAAACCTTATGCATAGCCCAAAAGCTGACCAACAGGAAACTAGGTAGCAAAAGTGATGAGACAAAACCTCCTTCTGATTCCTACCTGTGGCCCAGACGAGTGTTAAAGTTGTTAAGGACGACTTCAGGATTATGGCTAGTAGATTCGCCGCAGTGCTGAAGAAAACTTCAGTGAGAACGGGGAATTTCAGCGTAGACATCTGCATTAGGGCAAGGAAGAAAGAAGAACTCACCACAATGTCCTTCGAAAATTTTAAACTATTGATTTTGAAATAAGCTGTCGGACCTTCGGGCAAATGACAAAAGATTATTCCATCTGAACAGTATGTCAGTGTGGATGGCAGGCACTTACATAGAAAATAAATCTTTAAAACTCACTAGGTTTCTTTTGATCTTCATGAATAACAAGCAAATCAGTATAAGATTTCGATATAGCTTGTTTTACAACTTTTTTCAGCGGCACTCCTTTACGAGAGAAAATTTCCGAATTAGGTATGCACTTGTGGAGCTCGAAGCAAAACTTCCATGTAGTCTAGGATATTCAATATAAGAAACGTGAAAGAATAGAAACTGCAATCAATAAGTGAAAGCAGCTTATTAATTGTACTACCTTTTTGGCAAATGGTGACATCGTTATTAGAACTTTAGGAGTAGTTTCGC